GTTTTGGTTTTTGTGGTACCTATTTTCAAAAAGCGTAGGTTTTGCCTATCATATTTTAAACAATATAGGAAAATAGATTACAGCTTTAACTTGGCTACCATAGAAAGACAAATTTGATATGAGTCATGGTGGGGCAAGAATATCCAAACTGGCTCTTTTGAAGATGTTTTATTTTACATAAAGCTACTATGAAAGGAAAAATATTTAAATAATGCATACAAAAATTTTAACATATTTTGATGTTTTCCCATTATACTTTTTAAATAAAGGAAATGCCCAATATGCTTCCTACTTCTCTTGATTAGTTAGCATTGACAAATCAACTTCAAATGGTTAGAGAGAATCTACCAGGTCATCGTCAGTCCATTCTTCCTAAGAAGGAAAAAGAAAAGATGGTAAGGATAACATCTTGAAACATAAGCAGTATTATTTACCTCCTTGCCTCCCTTCAGCAAAATTATCTCCTTTTACCTACGTGTATTACAGAAGATAAATAAACCAGGAAAGTGTAGTAGTTCACACTTAGTAATATTGGCAGTGTCTTTTTTACCAGACTACTCCAATGAGGCATAAAGGTAACAGGTGTAACCTTCTGCCTTTGTCTCTGACTTGCCAGGTATAAAAAGAGGATCATGGTAAAAATCCTTGGAGAACCATGAAATAAAACAAAAATTTAGTATGTATGTGTATCCTTGCTGCCTTCTATGAACATAGGAAAGATTCTTTATCAAATATATGGCAGAAGTGAGAAAAATTCCTTTAATAATGGACAATGTACTGAGCATAAGAAGTATGTAAAAAATGAAGACTTTAAAAACCCACATCTCTATCTATAATGCTTATACTCTGGAACAATGAATTTTAACAATATGACCACACCGAAATGTGTAACAAAAATAATTGATTTAAAATTCACCTTTGGAGTAAACATACCTCCTCATGTTTGGATTTCTTTGAGACATAATCATCATCTTCATAGCCTTTCCTCTTCTTCCTATAATTAAGCAACCATCAGTAAGCAATCCAGTACTGGCAACAGAAACTATAAAATATCTAGGAATAAACTAGCAAGGCCAAATGAAATATTATATATATACTGAAAAACAAGGCCTAGCTAAACAGAGATGCAGAGTTATGGATAGGAAGATAATACTTTTCAAATCAATCTTTAAATTTGATTCAATTCTATTAAAATCCCAATAAAATTTTTTTTCATGGAACCCGTCAAATCTGACACTGACCTGGGAAAGATTGTGGGAAAAATAGCAAAGAAAATCTGAAAAATGATGATGTTAGGGTACCTTGTCTCAGTTTTCATCAAAACACACTATAAAAGCTATGATAATTAAAAGTGTGACATTAACATTTAAAGAAATCAATGATCAGAATACTATGCAAAAAATGTCTGTTTATACTTAGGAATTTAATTTGTGAT